CATAGGTCGTTGGAAGCTTTATTACAATGTTGTAACGATAATAGGCAATATGAAGGGAATGATAACGGGTGTGCCATTATGATACAAAGTAGGAATATATCAGCGATATGTACATCTAGACTGTATAAAAGCTGTGTTGACGATCTGAAGTCGTTGAAAGTGTTGAATGTGACTTCCACCAGTGCCATTTTTGTCTTACGAGGGCCCTAGCCCTTGTATTTCGAATTATTGCGATTACTTTTTAACGAAGCTTCAAACGACCCATGTTTACATAACATTTTCTTCTTACATCTACCCATAGAACACGCTGACGAAGTTTGATAAAAACCAATTCGGACACCCGGTATATACATACACATCTCTCTGCGGGGATACTTTCGATCGTGTCTAGCGTCAACATAATTGAAATTCTTTCACGTCTGCGTCGTGCATTATGTACACTTGACGAATGCTACGTGTTCCTGTAACAATCTGAACGTTCTATGTACCTGGTTATTAGATAATTAGTCGTTTGGTGTGCGGAACTCGGTTATCCGTTTCAGATCAATCCGAAACTATATATCATAATTCAGAACGCACCAATTTCATGGTGCGTTTGCGAGGTAACAGCCTGACAGGGACGGTGCCTCGAAAGCAGACACGTTCGATCAAAGCGTCTCGCTTCCGTCCGTGTCCCTCTGTCAGTTCGGCCAGATATCGATCGAGGAAATCATCATCAACGGCCTGCCAGCCATTTTGTATACGCGGCGGCGGCGCGTGGGCGCAAAGATAATTACCGTTTTGAAATCGTATACGTATGGACATTGATGGAGCCGCGGCGTCGTAACAATAGTCGCAAACCCGATCCACGATTCATTGTCGACTTTCTTTTCAATCGTAGATACAACGGAAGACAGACAGAGAGAAAAAATCCATTGTTCACCTTTAATCTCCCATATAAGGATGACTACGCGTGAAACTGCATACACACACGTCGCTTCTGTCTGATACGCGATATTCAGAAGCAGCTGGGGGAATTCAGATGGGTTTCTTCGATTTAAATGAATTCAAGGTTTGACGCAACCTGATTCATTATCACGCCTCCTTTTTACCCCGAATCTAATTAACGTTCGCTCGTGAAGTGTTGGGATCAAATTGATACCGCGTATTCAGGAGATTAAATACACTACTCGGACATATTTGAGCTATTGTGGTAGTTGATACTATGTATAATTTTTGGAATTTTTTGGGGGAAAAATTATGCTCGGTGTTAGAGGCACGTGTTTATGTAAACTTAAAATTGGCTGTGTGTCTTCAAACTATTAACTGCTGTCGTTGAAGAGTAACGTGTGTAAAATTGGAATACTTCTGGACATATTGAACAAAATTTGTTTAATGATTGTCTTAAATTCAACATTTTCCAGGATACGAATAATATGTCACTAAATTGAAACATTTTTAAACATGAACTCATCTACACTTTCTTCATTTATTCGATATTATTAATTCAAGTTAAATAACAACTCAGTTCGCTTAAATTCAGTTAAGTAACAACATTAACAAAACCTAAAAAAAAGGCACCCAACAACCTACCTCTCAACACCAAGGCAAAAGAGACCGTCTCAAAACTGCCGTTTCCTCCTGCCCACATTTCTACACGCTTTCACGAGGAACCTCGCGTGCTCTCCAAAATCGAAGGAAGTTTCCTTCACTTTCTATGCGAAACGAGCAACTCTTTCCTCCCATCACCTCCTCTAACCTCCAACGAATCCACACACGCTTCACTAACATTCCAGGCCCTTTCCTTAAAATCGAATCTCAGCATCGAGCGTTGATAATGACTTTCCGTACCTGCGCGTGGCAACCCGCTACGTTGCTCCAAATTGCAAGCGAACCGTGCAACGGCAACTTTCTACAACCACCGGCGCGGCGTCGATACACGCCGCGTAAACGCGCGAAACACTCGCTGGATCGCCGCCGAGTAGAATAATAAATTAAGTTTGCGGTTTTCGCGTGCGCGTAGAAAACGCGCGCGATTTCCAACGCGTAACGAGGACGTCGCGTGTCCCTGGCGCATATTTCAGCCGGTGCGTCGCGACGTGGGAGAAGCAGCAACCCCAGCCTGGATCTCGCTGAAGAGAAGAGGGGAGGGTGGAGAGAAAAAATCTTCGAAATCGGGCACACCTGGGCCGCGGACGGTTATGTAGGTAGGGCGTGTCGATGTTGGCACAGCTTGGCAAAACGCGTAGGCCGTCCCCGTATTATGCTGATCTCCCCCCGGAGTAGTGCGACGCGAAGTCTGAACTCGCGCGCGACGCTTGAATCCGACTTTCAGGGCTGGCTGTGGCGCGAGCTCGCGAATCCACGCAGAAATACCGTGGCCTGTCGCATTGAAAACGTGCGTCAAGTGACGCGGCTATATACACGCGCTCGTTTGTACACATAGATAGAGGTAGACGTGGGCGAGTGCTATAGAACACCGGCGTGGTCCAGGTGTCGCAGGTAGCCAGCGGTTGCCATTTTCCGCGCGAGAAGCTGCCGCGAAAAATCGCCCGAACGATACGGGTTCCCACGGTTCGTATAGGTTCGAGAAAAGTTATTGGGAGAACGCGTGGAAATTGTGTCAAAAGAGAGTATGTATCTGTGTCGTTTGCCGGTAGAGGTGTGAACGAGGGAGTATGTGTCTGTAAAAGGTCTGAAATTTGAATCTGACGCTACCGCATGGCGTTCCATATGGGTTTCTGGAACGAAAATTGTAATACAGGATTTGCGTAAAATTTTTTGAAATTAATTATATATTGTTTAATTCTTGAAGTGTATGTGTAAGAAAAATTGCATATTTGGCTGTTAGCGTTTGTATCAAATCATTGTTTACATCTGATGATTGTACATGTAATTCGGTTGAAGGTGATTACTTTGTAAACTATAACATGAAAAAAGACGGATGTTTAGACTAAGGTGAACAGTGAATAGAAATTTTTTGGTACCTTCTACGAAATCATTGATACTGTGGTTGGAGATTTGTTTCAGTTAAATATCTTCAGTCTAGAATATTGTAAACAACGATTGTGAGTAAGCGGCGTTTTCAAAGCGACTTTTTCTATTACGTGCGAAATTCTATTTCCTTTAGGAAAATAGAATCTGAAACGTTCGTGGAAAGTTTTGAATATCTGCACTACTTGGAAAAATAAGAAGAGCGAAGAAGAGGCCACTCCTTGTGATATTGTTAAGCTGAAACGGTTATTGTTGTATAATCAGCAAGGGAGTGTAGGTTAATGATATTTCTTCCAGGAGGAGATGAAGATAGTGCAAAGAGAAGCAGGAAGTGGTAGGGGCAATATTGTAACTGCAATGATAGATAAGAAGTAAGTACGGAGAACTTGATGAACGTACAAACTGGATCGGTGGTAAGGATACGTCTGAATAAAAGATGATTCTTGATCATAAGAATACCCTAAGAATACCACCACTTGCAATGTTTATTTCTCTGAAATTTGTCAGTCATTAAATCATTATATTATTACCGCTCTCAACTTCTTCAACGTCCCGTGAACATATGTTCACGTCTTCACACGAGTGCCCACTGAAACGCTCTAATCAAGCGGTACTTAAATATATCTTCCGAGAAAGTATTGCTCCTTATAAGTCACGTAGAGTCGCCCTGCGTTTATTACAAGTCACAACGTTTCAGAAACGCAACGACACTGTGATTAGCGAAGGCGCCGGATTGACGCAGCCAGCGAGAAAAACGCGCGGAAAGGAGCAGCAGCCGTGTTAATCAATCCTGTCTGCTGGCCGGCATTCCGCGTGAACGAGACCGGCGATTTTCCTAGCGGCCTGCAAACCCTTTCATTATTTCGGCCGAACGCTTCCGTATCGGTTGAATGACGTTCGATGCGAGTCCCAGCCTCAATTTGAATTCTCGCCCGCGGCACACTTCTCGGTGAGAAAAACACCTAATTATACACGACGTCTTTCGAAGAAACATCGGCGACATTTAACGGTGGTTAGAGAATACAGGGGTGCTACTACGATCGACTTGCAAATAACGAATGGGAGGGAGGGGAAGAGGGTTGAATCGTGGGGAACTGTGATATGGTTGTCGGTAGGCGATACTGTGAGTTAGAGTTTAAACGATTACCTGTAAACGCGTATGGCCCGCGGGAACCACTTTTATTCATCAATGTCCCCGGCGAACACCATCGTCGTTGACATCGCCGGAGTCTTTCGCTTGTAAGCCGATCTTCGAAAAGGAACAAAACACCACAGGCGCACCGCCGGCTCTGCATTTAACCCCTTCTTATTAAATAAATCATTCGACCCTTTACACCGGCCAGCCAATATCTCAGAGTCTCATCTTATAATTCCAACATTAATTTCTCTAATAGTCCTGGACACCGCTTTGTCTTCCGCTGAGGCGACACTCGAAACCGGCATTACCTTCACTCCTATCGATAAACTTTAAACCGTGGCCACTAACGCCGTAAATTATCGACAAAATCGGTCGTCGCGTCTAGAGACTCTCTTACGTCGTGCTCGGTAACGGTTTAATAAATAGAATGGTGCATTATTTTTTTTTCTCTCTCTCTCTCTCTCTGGAGAACAGAACGACTAGTCTCGAGACACCGTCCGGCAGTCCTTGAACGAGGCGATACTTGTAGCTCGAGCGAGCACATTGTGTTAACGCGGTTACCCTTCGCTTGCTGGACAATCTCAAACAAGACAGCGAACAGGAATAAACGTCGGATGGTTACAAATTTTCATGGACGCGAAAATGTCGCACGGAATTGTTCACGCGTGCTACCACGAAAGTCGTAGAAAAACTGAATCGTGCGCGAATTTTTCGTGCAAAATTGAACGAGTCGTAAAATTATCCCCTTCGAATGCGTCGTTGTTTAAAGAGACGTGCAGTGTGCCGTGCAATTCGACGTGTATTTTACTTATCCAATTAACGAAAAACGGTGCCTGGTGTTTTATTAAACAGCTAGAACGTGAAAGTGAGAAACAGGTACGACACTCACCTCTGACAGCAGCGTTGAGCCTGTCCAGATTGGCGAGAGTAAGAGGCACCGGGCCGAAGTGCATCACGATTTTGCCTACGTGTCGAAGATCGCCGATTTCGGATTCGCCACGTCGCGCCATGAATATGCCGGTGTAACTGCGCCGTATGTAGTGGCCGCATGTGTCGTTCAGCGTGAGATCTAGGGTAGCGTTCAGCACACCCTTGATCGCTCTCTTCACGCGCACGTGCAACTGTCCGTTCTTCATCTCCTTGATTTTCCCGGTGAAGATGTAATCCGCCTGGCGAACTTTCTTCAGGAACGTGGTGTCGTTTCTGATCGCCGCGGTCAAATTCGCCCGGCACTCGAGAAGTTCCTTGGTAGACGAAACGGCGAGCGGGAGCATGATGCTGCTGGCCCACAACACCAGAAAACCGATTTTCAAATTGACATTCATTTTCTTCCACGGTTCTTTTCACTCCTTTCTGAACATCACTTCCGATCACCTCTGTAACATTCGTTCGCAAGATGTGTATACTTCGTTTTCTTTTTTCTTTTCTCGCCAATATAATCAATTGTTCATAATTATTCGCGCACCGTCGCACTCGTTAAGTTCATGCTTCAATTAGCCGAACGGCTCGAGCGATTATTTCAATTAATCCACGGTGAAATCCTGCCACGACCGCGTAACATAATCAGAATTGGAGATCTTACGGAGCGAAATGATGGATGACGTTCGGAAAGTTCCTCTGATACTTGGAAACTGATATCCCGAAACACTCCGGACGACGAACGAGCCGCTCTACGAAAGCGTCGATCGAAAGAGGATTTCTCTGTTCGGAACGCGTCCCGGTTTGATTAGTTCCCGGCTGTCGATCGGGGCATCGCTTCTCGAAAGATACCTGACCACTCGAGCCTGAGCCCTCTAAATGGAAACGAGTCCGATCTTACGAGGCGTGTGATCTTGAGCAACAGGTTGGCGCCGTGTGTCGACCCACGCTCTCGCCGATTTCCAATCCGCGTGACTCGTTTCCCGTTCTACCAAGCGGCAAGTGCGAAACTGTCCGAGATTCGATCGCGTGATCGATAAACTGTCGATTCGGCGGGCTAGCCTCGCTCGTAGCCGCGACGTTTTATCACCTGCTCGATGGGACTAGAAGCCGATTCCACGCGATATTGTTACGGAATGTACGATCTTCGACAATTTCTACCGTCCTACCGGAACATCGAGCGCGGAGGAACGCGCAATAACGCGCAATTTATATCCACCGATCGTGATTCCTCTCTCTCTCTCTCTCTCTCTTTACGCTACACGCGATCACTATAAAACTCAAAGCGGCGAACGCGGTAATTGTCGGTGGCCGATCATCCAGATAGGAAACTCGGAAAAACGATTTCGCGGAGAGCGTCCACTACGGCGATCGATCGACTTTCACTCAAACCATACTGATTTCTAAATCGCCAACTAGAATTCCCGTATCTTTTTATTACGTTCCTCTTCTAAACAAGAAGAAACGACTAAACGCACAAGATTACACTCGCGGAGACACCAGAAATGAACACTAACGTTTCCAAAACATTCGGTAATTCACTGGATAACGACTGTCACTGATCACTGACCAAACGATCATTATAACTCGCGAACAGAACCGGCGATCTCTTTATTGTCCAGTGTGAACGGTGGACGAGAAGCGTGTTTATGGATCAGATACCGATAAAATCGTCGAAGTGTCGACGCATGATTAAACGATGTCGTGAACACTGTCGGAACACGGAGCGGGGAAGAGTAACGATCGACGGTCCGAGATCGGTCTGAACTGACCAATTCGATGATCGTAGCGCTCGACTGACAGATGCACGGGACCGTGAACCGCGAGATTAAGCGCTGCCAAAAGCACTGTCAACGAGAAGTTAGCGGCGCGTTCCGACATTCAGGCTGCCTTCGACGACTATCCGCGATCCTGCGCGAGAGTGAGAGAGCAGTGGTTGAGGTGGTGGTTGGTCGCGTGGAGGCACGCGCTGGACTGAGGAGGGCTAAGTGTGGATGCTGCAACTACAACGTGTAGGCGTAAGTCGCCTTAGACCAAGGGACCAAGAGGGAGAGAGAGATGACCGGCTGAATGTGTGCACACGCCGCTCGCATGTACACACACATACACACAGAGGCGTGTATACACGTCAGCTCCCGCCTCTTTCGGTGCCACGCTTCTGTGTTCGTGCGAACGCGCTGGAAAACGGAGGGGAGAGAGCGAGGGAGACAGAGAAGAGAGAAATCTTACCAAGACAGCCGCGTCTTGCGTGTCTACCACGTGAGTACCCAAAGATGCGTACTATATGTGGGCGCTATTGACACACTTATACCTATACACATGCGAGATTTTCATGCACTTACGGTGCTTACGGGGAACGCGGATGAGCTCGAGTTTAGCGGGAAAATGGATCGAAAGATTTTTATGCGTCGACCGACAAACCTGGGTCATCTGTGACCCGTACTATTTGCACGTGCATAAGGTTCGTAGGACATACAAAAACTTTGTCCACGTAGAATATTTTTGATGTTTATAATAACATGGAAAAATGTTAGATAGAAAAGTTGCATGGTATAGAGTTGGACATAATGGAAATACATTTTCAAGTACTGTTTTTTTTTTTTTTTTTTATTGAGATATGTAGTTTAATGTATTATATCTGGATAAAATTCCGGTGAAAAAAATTGATTGTTCGATGTATAGAGAAATATCTTACGATGGGTCAAATGTGACCCAACCCCACTTTTCGTTCGACTGATGGAGCTGTCCGACGGTTAAGGGGAACTGAGTAAATGGTGAAAGAATAGTGACATAGATCAATGTTAGAAATTCGAAACGTTTCTTTACGTTCCTGTGTTGTCCCGGTGAATTATTAGGGTGTCCACCCTTAAATCAAGTGTCACACGTTGCGTGCAACCCACGTTTTAACACCTAAACGCGCGAGATTTCGACAACGTGTGTGACGGCGGACGAAGTAAGAAAAAAAAGGACATTCAGATGAAACGATCTAATCTATATCAACTTAACGAGCTACAATCTCGAGCGGTTTGTAATTGATGGCTATCGATAATACACCGTGAGTCCCGTTCGTGTGGTGAACTTGGCGGTCTGTCCGCCTGCCGTCACCCACGAAACGGTGGGAATCCTCTTTAACGAGTCCGTTGAAGAAGTTAATAGGTCGAGTTCGACGTGACAACGTACAAGGGAAGAGGTGCACACTCTTACCCGCTTATTTATGATAATAGTTTCCCTTACGTGAACAGAGAACGGGCCAAGACTGATCTACGGTGTCGTCAGTTATGGTACATCATAATTTCCGCGGATATTTATATGCTCGCGTACAATGTTGTGCAGCATCTCGCGGCCTGGGCGTGGATGGAATGAGATTCTTGTCTCGCCCGGCCAACCAGATATGGTCTCGAGTTTCGAACGTTCGCAGAAACGATCCACGAAGTAGATACTACTAGAACTGTCCGCTCTCGGAGAAGAAAAAATGGTCACGGACACCCACGCGGAACTTCGTTCGTATCACACGGTACAAAACCGTGGATTTTATTCTTATCCTAATTGTCCAATTTCCCTTGGATCCCGGCGAAACGACAATCTATTTTCCCGGTTTCGCTCATTAGGCCGGCTAATACGACAACGTACAGCGGCGAGACGTCAGGAAACGTGGGCATTTCGATAGGTCAGGAATCTTGAATAATGTCAAGACACACAGAGTCGGACCAGTTATCGTGATGCGATAATGAAACACAGATCCGTATCTGGTCGACGTTCGCCCACGTGAAGACGGAGGAATGTAGGCCCGGCTAGTGGCATTGTTGCAGGAATATGCATCGATAGTAATAGGCACACCGGGTGACGTTAATGAATGCCTTATGGCGCGATCCGTACCGTATCGCTGCCGATTAAACGAGATTTCTCGTCCGGTCGAACGGTTCGGATCCGCGGCAGGCACGCGATCGTTTTCGAAAGCAACAGCCCTGGAAACGCTCCTATGGGGACATTAAGTCCCCCCTGTATTCACCCTGGCACGATCACCGACGAGCAAAGCGAATCGGCCAAGATGCCCACGCTCGCGCGCGACATATCACCGCGGATCGTTTCGCGTCCCGCGTGTCCTTGTGTATGTCCTTACCGCATCCGCGAATCGTATCCCCGAGGGCGTGGTGTCGACGTTACGCCTCGGATTGTCTCGTATCTTCCATCGGAATTGTCAGTTTCCAAACGCATAATATCCTGCGAAGTGCTAATGGCGCTATTCCCTACCGGAGTATATCACATTGTTCGTTACAGTTATGGATTTTCTTGTAACACCACTCCGTCGTTTTCACACCTAGTGCACAGCTAACGATTTTTAGATCGATATCTTACCTTCGCTATCGTATTATCTGGGCATGCTGTTCTCTACAACTCGCGTTCCCCGTCAGTTAAATCTATTCTATCTGTCCGTTTCCACGATAGGTATATCTATATACGTATACCACGGTTTCACGGACAAATCTCAACCGATAAAGACGTCTTGGTACATTTAATATTTAGTAAAATATATTAGAATAATTCTGGTGTGGTAATAAATTGTGGGATTCCGTTCGGTTGTGCTCGAGGAGAGAGAGAGCATTAAAGACGTCGACGTTAACCGATCGTTAAACGATCCGCTTTTTCGAAGGCAACCTGTTTGTATATAGACAGGCTACACGGGCCGCACAGTAGACAAATCGTCGGCCGATGGGAGTAAAATATGGCGATGGAAAGACGAGACAAGCTACCGCGCCGACTGATCCGCTAGCTAACGAATGGATCGATTTGCGTGGCTCGTTAACAATACACGTAAGGAACACTAATGTGCCACTTTGTTTCAGACGACCTCGCCGCGATGAGGCTGTCCTGAACGAAATAAAAAGGAGAGAACCAGATCTTCGAAGGTAGCCTCGTCTGCCTGCCGGTGGAACTCCCCTTTCCTACGTAACTATATCCTTGTCGTCGCCGATCCCGCGCTCCAAGACGATTATCCTTGTTCCATCGGGACACTAAGTACGTGTACGCTTGATTAAACTAATCTTATAAGCTCTGCCATCTACATGGTACCCAGTAGCATCGAAAGTTATTGCACGCCACGGATTTGTCTCTCACGTGCCGGTGAAGAAACTCTCATCGGGTCCAGTTTATCGTTTATTCACGCATTTAGACGGGATCACGGTTCGTAGGAATTTATTTACAGAACCGAGAATATACATATCTTGCCGCAGTGAGCCTTACATCGACCGAGAAACCGACCCGATGACGGCACGACGGAGATGAGTTATGACGAGCGTCGCCTCTGGCTTCGCTGCGTTACAATCTCGAACCACCCTCGGCCGCCGCCGCCGCCGCCACGTTGGTCCATCGGCAACTTATGAATGCTCGCGTGCGCGTTCGCCGTAAT